AACTCGAGATAATTAAATTTTGATAAAACCTACCGTTTTGGAGTTATCGACGATAAAGGTTCGGACTCAGTCGCGTTTCAGCCGTCGGCCATTACTGGCCTTCTTTCAGCTCCATTCACTGCAGAACATTTTGCGCGCGGAAGCTTAATTAACGGCCTTTTTACTGCTCTTAACTGATCATACTCGTCTAAATTACTGCGCACTTACATTTGCACGGAAATATGACGATTCGGGAAAATTTTAATAGATATTTAGCGCGGGGCTTAAAAAGCAAATTTATCGTTTTGCTTTGTGTTTTAATTTAAGAAATTTATTTTCTTAAGCATATTAATTTAAAATCATACACACGTCAAATACACAAAATGTTTTTTCTTCGGTATTTTTTCATATATATATATATATATATACTTTTAGGTCTGTCTATTTTAATATATTTTTTAATAAATACCATTAATCCTTGTTTTTTAAGTATAGAATAAATATTCATACCCGGGTAAATTTTTATTTTAACACCCGAGTACTAATACACCTTCAAACTTTTCCCAAATAGTCTTATTTCCGTGCAAATGTATCTGCTGAACTCAAACCAACAATTAGATATTGAAGAAACCTACCTTTTTGGATGTTAACGACCCGAAAAAAATCGGACTTTTTCTTTGTCTTTCGTCAGCCATTACCGGCTTATTGATAAGTAATTCAGTGCTGAATTTTGTTGGTGGACGTATACAATTTGGGCCTATTTACCTCCTTCACAGTAATTCCTTGTAGAAATTAGTACGCGCTTCCGTAAAGCGATTTTTTTTTTTTTTTGTACTTAATTTAAGAAGAAAGTTAACTTCCAAATATATGTAAACATCGACAAATAAAAGAATAACAAAGTAATTTTTTTTTTTTAGGAAGAAAATTAACTTTCAAATTAGGGTTAGGTGTTTTTTTTTTTTCTTTGGTATTCTTTTTTGCCAATGTTTACATATATTTGAAAGTTAACCTTCTTCTTAAATTAAGTACAAAAAAAATCGCTTTACAGAAGCGCGTACTAATTTCTGAAAGAAAATAGTTCAGCAGTAAATGACCCTCGGGTGTTAAAATGAAAATTTAACTATACCCGTTTATTTTAAATATTAAATAACAAACCTGTCCATTTTAAATGCAATATATATTTTTAAAAGGAAAAAAAAGTACTCCCCGTATGATATTGGGTTGGTGCATAATTATCAGGCGTTTTTATAGGCAAGTTATTTGTTAATAAAAATTATTGTTTTGTTTACTTTTTTTAATAAAAATATTATTTTATTTTCATGTTATAAAAATGCATGTCAATAATCATACGCTCCAGAATAATCATTTAAAAATGTTATTGTTGAATTTTTATGTTTCTTTTTTTCATAATAAATATTGTTTAAAAAACGCCTGATGATTATGCACCAACCCAATACATGGACTGCACCAGCATTGCACTGACCAGATAGTTTTATTAAAATTTAAATTATGTAACAGTCAGTCTCTACCCAACACCTGAAGATTGTGTTGTACATGAAACTGTTGTGCTACCAGTAAGGTATTATATATATATATACACGAGGGTCATTCAATAAATAAGGTGAATTTTTCGGTATACGGACTTCTAATACAGATAGAAGCTTACTTTTTTTATTTATTTATTTTTTTTTTTTACTTCTTTCTCACATGGATTTAATTTCTTTTGCAGATTAAAAAAAAACCTTGAGAGTTTTGGCGATTAACAAAGATGGCCGACCAAGAAGCATGCTCCAGGATTGAACAGCAGTCAGTTATCAAGTTTTTGGTTGCTGAAGGGTGCAAACCAGTTGAAATTCATAGGAGAATATCAACTGTGTATGGTGCCACATGTTTCAACCAAAAAAATGTCTACAAGTGGGCTAAATTGTTTAAAGAAGGACGGAGCAGTGTTGAGGATGAAGACAGGCCTGGGAGGCCTACAGAAGTGAGGTCTCCTGGGGTGATTGAATCAGTCAATGACCTTATTCAGTCTGACAGAACTACTGTGAACTGCTGAGGCAGGTCAAGAAAGACATAAAGAACAAACGCAGGGGTCATCAGTCAGAAGGAGTCATCTTGCATTATGACAACGCAAGGCCTCACACAGCAGCCCAAACGGTGCAGACCATCAACAAGCTGGGCTGGGAACTGCTCCTTCATCCCCCTTACAGCCCAGACCTTGCCACTTCAGACTTTCACCTGTTTGGTCCCTTGAAAGCGTTCACGAGAGGCACGAAGTTTAAAAGTGACGATGAAGTCAAAAGTGTTGTGAGCGACTGGCTGAGACATCAGTCCAAAGATTTTTACGCTTAAGGGAATACGGAAGCTTGTGCACAGATGGGAAAGGTGTGTGACAGTGCTGGGAGACTACGTTGAAAAAAAAAAAAAAAAAAAAAAAGTAAGCTTCTATCTGTATTAGAAGTCCTTATACTGAAAAATTCACCTATTTATTGAATTGAATTTGTGTGTATATATATATATATATATATATATATATATATATATATATATATATATATATTCGAGCCTATATTATTAAATATAACAGACTGTATATGCCTATTATGTTTGAACCATTTTAAACTTTGTATATTGGCTTTAGTTTCAGATGAAAATAAAGACAAAAACTGTCCAAAATTTGAATATTTTTTTTTTTAAATGGTATTCATTGATCTAAGCTTTCGGCTCACATGAGCCATCATCAGAGGTGGTTATATGGACATTACAACAGAGATGTTCACCATCAAAGATGACATCCTGTTTTATTTTTTTTTTTTTACATAGAAGTTTGCTATGCAATGATAATGGTCACAGAAGATCAGACACAGGTTGTAATGCGGTTCTATGACGTCATAGATGACCACATGAGAGAAAGAAATGTTATCAACAGTACCATATGTTTAAATGCATGGTAATATGTTGTGACTGGTTTGAAATGTAATTTTGTTGAGTGTAGGTTGCTTCGTTTTAATGTAGAATGCATTCCAATATTTATTTTCTCCTGAAACTAAAGCCGCTATACAAAGCTTAGAACGGCTCATGATCAGAAAGAATAGTCATTCGTTGTCTGTTATATTTAACAATATATGTTTGAATAATGATCTGCTGCCCCAATACACTAAATATATATGTGTGTACGAGGTCTGTCTGAAAAGTAACGGGACTGATGTCACAATCAATTCATTTCAATTCCAAACAACATTTTTTTATCATTCTCTGCAATGTTTCTATGCGCTGCCGGAAGGATTCTTCTTTTATGCCCCTCAGCTCCATCATTTTGGCCCTATTGCTGGCTTCCTCGCCTTCAAAACGGATCACCTTGATGATCCACTTGAGCTTGGGGAAAAGGAAAATGCCACATGGAGCAGCTGAATAAAGAGGTTGTTTCATTACGGCGATGTTCTTCTCGGTCATGAACTGACCGATGCTCAGGGTGTTGTGAGCAAGTGCATTGTCATAGTGAAGCAGCCACAATTTGTTCTGCCACAACTCTCATCTCTTCTTGCACACTGAATGAAGAAAACGCTGCAGGATCTCTTTGTAGAATTGCTGATTGATTGAGGGTTTATTTGAACGGGAAACCATGTAGTTTGTTGTTTGGAATTGAAATAAATTGTTTGCGATACTAGTCCTGTTACTTTTCAGACAGATTTCATACAACAGGCATACAATTTTATACAATTGCTTGTTGTTTATATACAAGGTCTGTCTGAAAAGTAACAGGACTGATATCACAATCATTTAAATTCCAAACAACATGGTTTACACTTTGAAGTAATCCCCCTCTCATCTACAGCACTGTTCCATCCTTCTCTGCTATGTTTCTATGCACTGCTGGAAGGATTCTTCTTGTATGACCCTTAACTCTGTTGTTATGGCCCTTTTGATGGCCTCTATACCTTCAAAATGCTTTGGTTTGGTGTGGTTTGTTTTACAGCATATCAACTTCAATGGGTCATTTAATGCCGACAACTTTTTTTTTCCTGGTAATGTTTTTGTTTTGTCAAAAATCTCTTTCTGTTAATATTTTTTTCCTCAAAAATGTATAGCTGGTAATATTATTTTTTTCAAAAACATATAGCTGGCAATATTTTTTCAAGAAGGTATAGCTGGTAATAGTTTTTTTCAAAAATGTATTGCTGGTAATATTTTTTTTTCTTCAAAAATTTATTTCTGGTAATAATTTTTTACAAAATATTTCTGGTATTAAAACCTATTTTTACACTTTTATAATGCTTTTTACCTCAGTTTGGGGTTAACTATTTGCCCATATCTAGGACCCTAACAGGTGCTACCACCCCGGGTCAAGGTGGACTTGGAAACACCAGCAATCAAGAAGTGGTTCCATGCTCCTCACAACCTCCCAATCAGAGACCTTGATGCCGGATGCAGTTTACGGTTATACCCAGGACCATCAAAATGCTTTGATAATCCCTTTGAAACTTGGGGAAAAGAAAAATGTTACACAGAACAGGATCATGAGAATCGGGAAGTTGTTCCTGTATGACAAATATTATTGGCCAGTAACTGCCGGATGCTCAGGGTATTGTGAGCTGGTGCATTGCCGTAGTGAAGCAGCTATGATTTGTCCTACCATATTGCTTATATGTGAAAAAAAAAATGCAAAACTTGCAGAAAGATAAGATTACAGTTATATACACTGAAGATAACATCTTTTATTTCATGTAATTAAACCAAAAATCAACTTTAACTTTGGAATTAAATAAATATGTGGTCCAATAGTTTTTAAAATCATGTATCCAAAATATGAGTCCAATTAAAAAAATATCAGTTTCTTAAATAACAACAGATTTACAGCCTTTCACACAAATGATATAAACAAATTAAAACGTGCGTAGATGATACAGTAGGGTCTGAGGTGTCGACAAAACAAAAATAAATTATATTCATCTATATTAACAATGAAATGGTAACGTCTCAGATCCAGATGTCCAATGGTGTTATCTCTCTAGGTGAGAATGTCATGTGACAGGCATTGCAAGGTCTCTGATGACAGCTTCGTCCCAAGGTCCATAGATATTACTGAAAAACAAAAGAGTTAAAAAAAAAACAGAAAGAAATAAAACATCTCTGAGATTTGGATCAGGAAAGTGTGGAAGCAGCATCATGGTTACTGGGGCCAAAATTGGAAAAGGTGAGCAGAGTTCAAACTTCAGCCTAACCCATTGCATTCACTTTTACACAAATTTAATTGGGAAAGGTATTAATCTATCTCTTCTCCCACCAGCAATGGCTTAAATAGCATGGCAGCTTGGTCACTCTAGCTTTGGTTGGCAGCCAGTCTAGGAGAAGGACAATTATGAATTAAAAACTGCCAACAACTGCTTACTCCTTGGTAAAACATTATCTCTGCATTTTTTTTTCTTATCAAACAAGTGAGAGTGCTTTAAAAGCAAATAGAACCTTATTTGACTGCGAAGCACTTTGTAGCCGAGCAGTTAAAGCAAGCTAGACAGTGGTTTCTCTTGCAAAGACAGATGCAGGTTCAAATCCTACCAGAGGGCACATTTTCTTTTAATAATTTTTCTCAGGTGTGTGTAAGTCAGTAGACAAAATCCTGAGTTAACTTGCAGTATAAGCACCAAAATCTCCTGGTATTGAGAATGTACCATTCTCATGTTAAATTGCCTGGTTATTTTGAAAATGACATTAAAATAATGCACTTGATTACCATTTAGACATTATGGACAATGTAAGCTTGATTTCTTTCTTGTCGTGTAGACAGAACGACCGCCATTACTGGCTTTGTTTACATACGTTTGCCTCGAGTAGTCATGTGACATGGAAGCTTCACTTGTCTTAATTACTGCGCAATGCATAAAGTTTAAAATGAATGCATGAAAAAAAAAAAAAAAAAATGGTAAAACGAAAAGCAAAATCAAAATGATATGCCTGAAAGGATAAAAAAAATAAAGCTTCCATTCCACAAAAAAATAATACTTTTAATTGAAAAAGAAAAATTTATGACTCCCCACTCCCTACCAAAAAAGCTTCTTAAGAATATTTTTGGAAAAACGGTTCAATCATGAAATTATATCTATTTAGAAATGCTTTCAATTGTTTCTGTAACAAATTTAATAAAAAAAAAAAAAACACTAAAAAAATTGCACAGTAATCAAAACCAGTAGGAAAAGTTGTAAAAAGGCCGTTAACTAAGTAAGTTTCCGTGTATTATTACTTGAGGCAAATGTATGTGACCAAGGCCAGTATTAGCGGCCAGCAACACGAGAGAGATCAAATGTACATTGATGGTAAATTGTAAACGGTAATCATGTGCAATGTTCTAATGTTATTTTCGAAATAATCAGGCAATTTCACACCCAGGGGCTTTGATGTTTATACTACAAATTAACCGATTACTGTTTCAAATAAAACAGCGAAATCTACTGAATAGCCACTAAAAATAATTTTTTAAGTAAAATACACACAAATACAAAAAAAAATGGCTGCCCCCTCGTTGTACAAAAATGCTTGCCAATAGGCTAAACCTGATGGTACCTACACAATTTTTTTTAACTTGTGAAGCCCTACATCAACTCTCAAAATAAAACTGTCTTCATCCAATGACAAGAACCAGTCAAGATAATCAGAGACCGCCTGTCCCACATCCTGTACAAGGCCCAAAAGCCATTCAATGTAGAAGATTGTATTACAAGGCAGTTTGTATGGATAGGGAAGGAAGATAACAGTTAATCCTAAACAGGTCAGGATTATAGTGATCAGGGAAACATCCTCTTGGGAGTCAGTTCCACAGAGCAGTGGTTCGCAGGAAGAAGTTGTCAGAGTGGCATTTGCTTCTCACAGAGGGAATACAGAGGGAATGTAGGTGGTTTGCAACAATGTAAGTGGTATGACAGGTCCTTACAATGAAGGTTACGCCTGGCGGAACTAAGTATTTCTTCCAAGCACTTTCCACTACATCCCACCTGTGAGAGAGAGAAGTGGAAAATAATTTATCACCCACAAGGACTTGAAGAAGCCTTTGGACTCTATCAAGGCTGGAATGTGTGTTCTGTGCAGCTCTCAGCCAAATATAACAGTACTCCATTCTTGGCCTGATCTGGCTCTTGTAAAGTAGAGGATAACAGTGGAGTCAGGTACTTACTGCAGTGGTACAGGGAGCCAATCATTTTACCTGCATCTTTAGCAATGGATCATATGTATGAGTTCCATTTGAGGTCTGGGGTGAGTTTATGGTCCAATAGTCTCTCAAGGCACAGTAACATGAAGATAGGTCCTCTGCCACTGTTTACAGTACATGCTGTTTCTAAGTGGTCCCCCATCTAAGTACTGACCAGGCTCAATGTTGCTTAACTTTAATAATTCAACAGGAGCCGGTGCTTTCAACATGACTTGCATGTATATGTATAGCTAGCAACTCCTATTCAGACCTTTCTAAATTTGCACAAAAAATATTGTTTTTGAAATTTTTGCAGTAAACAATTTTGGTTGTAAATATATAATATTTATGAAGATAATATCTTTCCTTCGGTGTTTATAAATTGTACTACATGTTCTGAATAAAGTACAAATCTAATGTTTGGCATTTATTCCTTTATTAAATAACTTCATATTAATAATAATAAAGTTTACATGACAATGTTAACATCACATAATTATTTCTGAATAGATTTTTTACCAAATTCCAATTCAATGTCATTTACTCAAATTAATAAGTGATCCCCAATGAGAATTCAGCACTAAAATAGATATTCAGATTCAATTATTAACTTTAACAATGAACTATTTTAAATTACAAAATTGTACTTAAACAAAAATTTCTTATAATACATATTACTTATAATTCATTCCTTCTTGCTGTCAACTTTGATGGCGCAGGTACAGTAGTGTGTGTGTGTGTGTGTGTGTGTATATATATATATATATATATATATATATATATATATAATAATAATAATAATAATGGACTTTCCTGTCGGTTTCGACGTATGAGGATCTGACAGCTTAGTTGATTCAGTTATGAAATTTTGTGCAATAATCTTAAGTGGCATTTAAGAACCGCTAGTGATTTACAAAGGAGGCCACATATGGAACAAGTGTGAGGATTGTGAGATGAGATGACTGTTAGATTGGCTGACCTTTTAGATCTTTCTCTCACTTCTTGAATATGATTCAGACAAGCAGATTGAAAACTGCTGAATCCACTAGACTCGTTGATCTCCATTCTACCCACTCCAAGGCTAAACGCTCAAGGGTGTTATGTGGTATAATGACAGCTGACAAGCTTCTCTTCAATTTGTCTTTGTATCTTAGCCATGGGTGTCCTACATTCCTGTAGCCCTGATCTAACTGGATGTAAAATATATATATATATATATATATATATATGAAAAACACTAGTCAAAAGTGAACAAAAAGGGTTTAGGATTTATTCTGTCCACTGCTATATCAATATTCTGTTTAATTATTCATGTTAACAACAAACTATTTTAAATTATAAAATTTTACTTGGATTAAACAAAAATTATCTACAATACATATTACTTATAATACATTCCTTCTTGCCATCAATTTTGATGGCATGGGTAAACTAGTATGTATATTTTGACATGAGACGTACACAAGTCAAGACCCCTTTCACAATGACACACAAAAATCTACCGCACTGATAAACTACAAAGAGACTGCACGAAACGTTACTCGGGCCTTCCAAAGTTTACACAAAAAATATTGGCTTTGGGAACTTTTGTAGTAAACATAATTTTGGTTGTAAATAGGCAACATTTATGAGGATAAAATACAGATATCTTTCCTGAGGTGTTTATAAATTGTACACTGTTTAATTATTAATGTTAACAACAAACTATTTTAAATTATAAAATTTTACTTGGATTAAACAAAAATTATCTACAATACATATTACTTATAATACATTCCTTCTTGCCATCAATTTTGATGGCATGGGTAAACTAGTATGTATATTTTGACATGAGACATACACAAGTCAAGACCCTTTCACAATGACACAAAAAATCTACCGCACTGATAAACTACAAAGAGACTGTAACTAAACGTTACTGGCCTTCCAAAGTTTACACAAAAAATATTGGCTTTGGAAACTTTTGTAGTAAACATAATTTTGGTTGTAAATAGGCAACATTTATGAGGATAAAATACAGATATCTTTCCTGAGGTGTTTATAAATTGTACACTGTTTAATTATTAATGTTAACAACAAACTATTTTAAATTATAAAATTGTACTTGGATTAAACAAAAATTATCTACAATACATATTACTTATAATACATTCCTTCTTGCCATCAATTTTGATGGCATGGGTACACTAGTATGTATATTTTGACATGAGACATACACAAGTCAAGACCCCTTTCACAATGACACACAAAAATCTACCGCACTGATAAACTACAAAGAGACTGCACGAAACGTTACTCGGGCCTTCCAAAGTTTACACAAAAAATATTGGCTTTGGGAACTTTTGTAGTAAACATAATTTTGGTTGTAAATAGGCAACATTTATGAGGATAAAATACAGATATCTTTCCTGAGGTGTTTATAAATTGTACACTGTTTAATTATTAATGTTAACAACAAACTATTTTTAAATTATAAAATTTTACTTGGATTAAACAAAATTATCTACAATACATATTACTTATAAAATTCCTTCTGCCATCAATTTTGATTAAACTTAAATATTTTGACATGAGACATACAAGTCAAGACCTTTTCAATGACACACAAAAATAACCACTGACTGATAAACTACAAAGAGACTACACAAACGTTACTCGGGTTCCAAAGTTTCTATACAAAAAATATTGGCACAAGGGAAATTTTTAGTAAACATAATTTTTTAAGTAAATAGGCGCATTTATGTTACAGATATCTTTCCTGAGGTGTTTATAAATTGTACACTGTTTAATTATTAATGTTAACAAATAAACTATTTTAAATTATAAAATTGTACTTGGATTAAACAAAAATTATCTACAATTATATTCTTATAATACATTCCTTCTTGCCATCAATTTTGATGGCATGGGTAAACTAGTATGTATATTTTGACATGAGACATACACAAGTCAAGACCCCTTTCACAATGACACACAAAAATCTACCGCACTGATAAACTACAAAGAGACTGCACGAAACGTTACTCGGGCCTTCCAAAGTTTACACAAAAAATATTGGCTTTGGGAACTTTTGTAGTAAACATAATTTTGGTTGTAAATAGGCAACATTTATGAGGATAAAATACAGATATCTTTCCTGAGGTGTTTATAAATTGTACACTGTTTAATTATTAATGTTAACAACAAACTATTTTAAATTATAAAATTGTACTTGGATTAAACAAAAATTATCTACAATACATATTACTTATAATACATTCCTTCTTGCCATCAATTTTGATGGCATACAAAAACTAGTATATATTTTGACATGAGACATACACAAGTCAAGACCCCTTTCACAATGACACACAAAAATCTACACGCACTGATAAACTACAAAGAGACTGATAAACTACAAAGTTTTACAAAAAATATTGGCTTTGGGGAACTTTTGTAGTAAACATAATTTTGGTTGTAAACCCTTTTATGAGGATTATAGATATCTTTCCTGAGGTGTTTATAAATTGTACACTGTTTAATTATTAATGTTAATAAATAAACTATTTTTAAATTATAAAATTGTACTTTTAAACAAAAAAAATACATTGGCTTATAATACATTCCTTCTTGCCATCAATTTTGATGGCATGGGTAAACTATATGTATATTTTGACATGAGACATGTCAAACCCTTTCACAATGACACACAAAAAAACATTGATAAACTACAAAAGAGACTGCACGAAACGTTACTCAGGCCTTCCAAAGTTTACACAAAAATATGGCTTTTGGGAACTTTTTGTAAGCTTATAATTTTGTTGTAAATAGGCAACATTTATGAGGATAAAATACAGATATCTTTCCTGAGGTGTTTATAAATTGTACACTGTTTAATTATTAATGTTAACAATAAACTATTTTAAATTATAAAATTGTACTTGGATTAAAAACAAAATTATCTACAATACATATTACTTATAATACATTCCTTCTTGCCATCAATTTTGATGGCATGGGTAAACTAGTATGTATATTTTGACATGAGACATACACAAGTCAAGACCCCTTTCAATGACACACAAAAATCGCACTGATAAACTACAAAGAGACTGCAAGAAACGTTACTCGGCCTTCCAAAGTTTACACAAAAAATATTGGCTTTGGGAACTTTTGTAGTAAACATAATTTTGTTTGTAAATAGGCAACATTTATGAGGATAAAAATACAGATATCTTTCCTGAGGTGTTTATAAATTGTACACTGTTTAATTATTAATGTTAACAACAAACTATTTTAAATTATAAAATTTTACTTGATTAAACAAAAATTATCTACAATACATATTACTTATAATACATTCCTTCTTGCCATCAATTTTGATGGCATGGGTAAACTAGTATGTATATTTTGACATGAGACATACACAAGTCAAGACCCCCTTTCACAATGACACACAAAAAAATCTATGCACTGATTTGACATGGCCTTCCAAAGTTTACACAAAAATATTGGCTTTGGGAACTTTTGTAGTAAACATAATTTTGGTTGTAAATAGGCAACATTTATGAGGATAAAATAAGATATCTTTCCTGAGGTGTTTATAAATTGTACACTGTTTAATTATTAATGTTAACAACAAACTATTTTAAATTATAAAATTGTACTTGGATTAAACAAAAAATTATCTACAAAAAACTACTTCTTTACATCAATTTTGATGGCATGGGTACACTAGTATGTATATTTTTGACATGAGACATACACAAGTCAAGACCCTTTCACAATGACACACAAAAAATCCACCGTGACTGATAAACTACAAAGAGACTGCACGTAAACGTTACCGGGCCTTCCAAAGTTTACACAAAAATATTGGCTTTGGGAACTTTTGTAGTAAACATAATTTTGGTTGTAAATAGGCAACATTTATGAGGATAAAATACAGATATCTTTCCTTAGGTGTTTATAAAATGTACACTGTTTAATTATTAATGTTAACAACAAACTATTTTAAATTATAAAATTTTACTTGGATTAAACGAAAATTATCTACAATACATATTACTTATAATACATTCCTTCTTGCCGTCAATTTTGACGGCATGGGTACACTAGTATATATATTATGGTGGATAGCCATATTTGAGTATATGAGATTGGATTAATAAATAAAAATCCATCACTTCTATATATTAATTTATTATATTCTATAATATAGGTTTGCTTGGAAACATGCACGCACAAACGCACACACATACACTGTACTTTATATATAAGATATACAGACACGAGGACACACACAAAGAGATGCACATAAAAACGTATTCTTAACAAGATGCTTACTCTTTGTAAGGCTGCAGTCGGCAAAGCCATGCAGGGCAGACAAAATTGATGAACAAATGAATGCAGATGAAGATAGCAGCGCCGATGACAGATACTGACAGTAGAGCACCACTGGCTATCACACCGACAATTAGACTCATCATGTTCTGATAGATGGGGCCTTTTTTCTGGAAAATAAGAAATACAGGACAAAATAATGAAAACAAATTTCTAAAAAAAGTGAAAATAAAAAAAATGTGAACATATGTACAAATGTTTTGGAAAGATAACTGATATTTTTCTCCTGTTGAATATTTTCAATTTTCTTCATAATTTGTTCTCAATTACCTGGTGCACCCCATAAACAAAGTTAAAAATATGTATTTACAAGCACTAAGGAGTTATAAAAATCATGGGTACATTAAATTCTTCCATATTTTAATTCCATATAATAAATACAAACAATCTTTTTGATTTTATAAAACGCCAAAATGGTTAAATTTATTCATTGTAAATCATTTAGAAGGATTATTGAATCAGTTATGACATCAAAATTCAATTTGATTGATCAAAAAGTTGGCTTTTACAACATATCGTATTTTCTAGCGAAGATAATGCTTAAAGAAAATAATATTAGAATAGAAATTAGTTAAATATTTTGGGTGGGTGCTTATATATCTCAGTCATTGTTGTGTCGGAAACTTACCACCCCTCTTGAAGATGAACTTGTCTACAAACAAAGACGTTAAATAGTGGCATGTCAAAAGACAGACAGAGTCGGAGAAGTTCTTGGTTGAGCTAGTTATAGACTATTCAGGTGATTTCTGTACCAACTTACCAACCGAATAAACCCCTTATTATTGTTACATGTTATTTGGCGTTTGGCTTTACTAACCCCAAATTAACATCATAACAGTCATGCTGCTCTTTCTCAAGCATGCAATGAAGGGTCAGCTGGGTTCGTACATGTTTGCCTGTTGAGGCCGTCACTGACATTGGGTAGATCACAGATTTCCACACTAGCCAGAAGGGTATCTGTCAGCTGGCTTCTCTGAAGGAAACAGACTGATTTAGAAGTTTTTTATAGAATATTGTAAGCTTCTGATAAAGAAAATTTATAAAGGGATTTATTTTAGAAAAAAAGGGGATGACATATAATGTATACAAAATGTGTTTTGAAATAATTCCCTAACAAAGAAATTGGGTATAATTATCTGACAGAATTTCTAAATCAGCTGTGTCAGGATTGTCCCCTCATGAATTGCAATTATAAGTTGGTACAATTGTTATGCTCATGCCTAACATGAACCCAAATCTATACTGGCACTATCTAGGGTGAGCCAGTAAGCTAGTTACTACAGTAAGCTAGCTATAAACTGTTACTTTGTAGGAGTTATCTCCTCCTGAATTCTGACACCACCACTTGGGGGACCTATCCCTAAATCATATATACTTGAGAACTCCCCTCTCTCTCTCTCATTTCAACAAACTACAACCATGTAAGCTCTCACAGAAGATAAGCATTCCGTCTTGTGGGAGACACCATGAACATTACAGACACGCATACATGCAGGCAGGCATGTATGTATGTACGAACATCTACACACATCTAGGAACATCACACATCTACGAACATTCACTCCTTCAACCGCAAGGACACAGAAACTTATCAATTTCTAACGGTGAGATTTTCATCAGCAAACATCACACTGCCAAAACAAGTGCTAAACTAAAAAACTACATTTTTAGTACGAAATACTATTTCTCGATTTTCAAGCGAAGAATACAATTTTCACTCACTCAACACGTTTCTTTGAACTCACCTTCAGTAATTCAAACTAACAGTTTAAGGTAAATAACTCTTGCCATATTTAAACATTGAACTTTCAACTACAGAAACACTTAACATTATGAGTAACAATCTGTTTAATTCTCTTACAAGTAACAATACATCTTACTAAAATTCTCCAAACTCAATATTTTCCTCAGGTTATCAACAGGAACATTTTTCTCACTCAAAATTCCAAGGACAAGTAAATTTCAGCGTTTCAAACACAGCTGAATTACTGTCTCTACAGTTGTTGTTATGCATATATAAATTCCATTTACTTATGCAACTTTTCTTCTTAAATGTTATTCTTCTTGTTTGTTCATTCACTTGTCACACGGTCCGTTACAACTACAGTAAGCTTGCTATGCCAGTTACTACAGTACACTAGCTATAAATGGTTACTATAGTAAGCTAGTTATATTTAGTTTGATTTATATTAAAGAAAACACACAAGACCTATTCTCTTATATGTAACATTATATTTTATTCAACTTTGGACTTCATCAATTACCATCAGCCAGAAGGTGTTTAAATCTGGGACTTTCTCCAAAGGTGGATTCTACATTCTCATGATGATGTATTATACACTGCTTTTCAACTCTAGGGTGGGAGTTTATATATCAACCTTTCATTTTTTTTTTCAAAGGAAGAGAACTGATGTAATGGAATAATCTGTCACCACCATGAGTGACTACACTGAGTGACTACAATATCTGTAAGTCAATGGTAAGTCTAGCTGGGATCTGTTCAGATAAACATATCTGAAGGTAACGAGCGCCATAAACGGACTACAGAGTTTGAACCCATTTATATGAAGTTGAAATCTTTTCTGAGCCATGGCTAAACAGTTAAACTCCCTTGTACAACAACCCGTGGGGGGGTAGCTAAATATTCTAGCTGGGATCTGTTCCAGCTGTGCTGTCAAACTCTCTGCCTTCAGGCGTAGAGGAACCTGGGCAAGGCTACGCTGAAAGGGAGAGTATCATCTGGGGAGGTAGACAAACCCGATCCTGTTTATGCAGGGTCTATGGGGATTTTTGGGTCGAGCCTATGGGCTCGAGAACCCCACATTAAATTCAGCCTTGTGCCACATGTGACTGCATGGGGCAGTTGCTAGATACCATCTAGTTGGAATCTTTTCCAGCTGTGCCGATCAAACTCTCTGCCTTTGGGCAGAAAGGAACCCAGACAAGGCTATGCTGAAGGGCAGAATCTTGTCTCAGGAAACAGCTACCCAACCCCATGAATCCTTCTTCTCTCCTGAATTATTTATTAACGCAAACAAAACAATGAAAACATGAACCCTCTTCTTCCCTCAGCTATGGATAAATAGCAGGACAGACTGGGTTCCATAGCCTTGGATGGTAACTGGTCTACTGCAGAAAGAAATGACAACCTACTACGGGAAAAAAATCTACCTTGTCAGTCATGTATCAAAAGATACATGATTGCCTAAGCGTTTATTACATATGGCACATAAGTGTTGGTACATGTTTTATTCTTACATCCAGTCTTTGAGTCGTTCTCCCTATGTAGCGTGAACCACAACTACATTTAAATGAATAAATCAAAGAACTATATATTTGTGTATTTAGGCAGCAATCATTTCTTTCATGCACATTTCATTGAATATGACAGACAAAATGCTTTTATTTAGTTTTTTTATAGAATTTCTCATTTTTTTCTTTTCAGATGATAAATTATATAAAAACTGTCCAGATGTTCTTTTTATCCAAGCACTTTCAGCTATACATTTAGCCATTTTTCAAGGATTAAATGTTATATATGGTGAGGTTGATGGTAGGAGAGAGATGTTTAATATAAAGGGCCTCTCTAATAGTAAGATGTTTCCAGTAATGTGATCATATAGAATTTTAGTGTTTTCAACCAGAATTTTTCTTAAGGGTTCTTGAAAATTGTGGCTTGATAGATGTTTGAAAATGGCTGAAGAAGTGGCCGAAAATGCTTGAGTTGATGAAAATTATGGAAAATTTCAGCACTTCTTTACTTCTACAAAACAGAAGAAGCATACTGGAAAAACTAAATAAAAAAAATTAATTAAAACTTCCTTTCTGCCATATTTAATGAAAGATGTTTAAAGAGTGTAAAGGTATATATATATATAAATATATATATATATATATATATATATATATATATACTAGTAGTGTAGCCCGGCCACGTTAATGGGATGTAACAGTAAGAGATAGATCAAGTATCGACCATCATAAAGACTGAAAAATAAAATTGACAAAGATTATTGTTTAAGGTTGACGGACACGCATGTCTTAATTTGTTTTGTTTTTTGTTTTTTTACGAATTGGTCAAACCCAAACAAAAACATTGTTTTCAATCATTATGAGTCTATCGATTGAATAGAATTTTATTATAAACAATTGTCTTGTAACTGGAATTTTTAAAGCATTCTTAATGTAAAAATAAAGAAAAAAGTGTGCAAGACAATAAGAAACACTACCTGCCAAAAAAAAAAGTGAAGTTATGTTGAAATCGGTTGAAAGATGTAGGAAATCCGATCCCATATATAAACGAACACACACACACACACACACACACACACACACAAACAACCTGGGTTTTATAATAAGTATAACTTGATACGAGTTGTCCCCCTTTCATTCTGGCGACAGAATCGTGTTTTATCATGTTTTCAAATTGATTTCGTGCAAAAACAATTGTGTTTTTCTAATTTTTGGCACTGTCACAACCAACACAAGGTAATTTTATGCAGTCCTGTGAAGTTCTGTTGAAATCGGTTGAAAAATGTAGGAAATCCGATCCAATATATAAACGTACAGACACACACACACACAATCTGCGTTTTATAATATGTAAGATATATTTGTGTGCCAACGGCTATCTGTCACTGTGACTGACCAGATGATGTGCATATATGAATGCCATCATTCACTTTGAAATGGACACCCCGGCCCTGCCTAGGCTTGACCTCTTTCCGAAGGTAATTGATATGTGGATACAAATTGTTAACTCTTATGCCTCTTATCAAAATATTCACCCCAGCTGTTTCCATAGTAATTAATTTTGTGAATGAACATGCTTATAAAGATGCGTAAATTTCAAGATTGGTTATTCTAAAATTTTCACTTGAGGATGAAACAGGGCTTGATACTTTAATTCAATTTAATTTTAATAATTATGTTGAGGTTTTTGGCTCTTGTTTTTGAAACATGAGAACTCTTATGTAGGAAAGGATTTTTTTTTTTTTTTTAAATAATTATAATTTAAGCTCTACTTCTGTATGGAGCACTGATTTTTAAAAATAAAAACAAAATACTAAAGAACTCCAGATTATTTACCTAACATATTCTTTCCTATTTT